TGCTACATGAAAGGAATCAGTATNCTACAGTAATATCTATAAATTAATCAACCATTTTAAAATGCGTTGATTTACGTTATTAGTCAAGGCCTTAACCACAATACGGTATATTGTCCTTTATTATAGTGTACTGCAAATGAATTACTTAACGCTTCCTAATAACCACAGCTGAGTCTATTAAAGCTTAATTCCAACTAGAGTTTATGATATCATTTATACTAATGACTCCGTCAAACTTGCCTAGCCATGATGGCAGAAAAAATACCACGGTACATATAACATTCCGTAAATAGCCAGGAAGCGGTAAACCATTTTAAAGGTCGTTCCGATTCCTGCAACTGATCAGCATTTCTTAGGTAATTGTTCCATATTGGTAAGTCTTCAAATTCATCATTTAATTCTGGAATCTCTTTATTAGTCTGCATTTCATTCCTTAACTTGCTTAATTTGGAAATAATGCCAATAGCATCTTCTGCAACATCCTAGAAATACAAATGAATGAGTTATAGGCATAATCTACAATACACATAATTATTTCATAAGTCTTTTAAGGGGGGATGTAAATTATACTATACGCGCAAGTACGCAATACTCAAGATTTTACACTATTATCCTTAACATATCCATTTTTAATGATAATGAATATAGTAAGTTCCAACCTCATTATGTTCGGCCTTCAATTTGGAAATTTTTCTACTTAAACCATCTATAACTCGAGTTAAAGTCACCGGCAAGCGATCTCGTATGGTGAAATATGCGAAAGTTCTATTGCATCAGAAATCAGAAAATGCTTACTTTAGTTTAGTTTTACGAATTGCTTGCAACCCATATCGACAGCTCATTCTGTCCATTACAGTACACAGCAACTAACAAGTACTCGTTACAAGTTACAACTGAAAGCATTTAGTAAAGACTTCAAAAATAAGTATTCACCCTTTATATCTTGCAGATAATCTTTCTGGAATACTGTTCATTTTTAGGCTCTCCATGGCTCTACTCCTTCCCTCCTACTATGAGTCGGCATACGAGATGAGCTACCATTGCAATGGTGCGTTTTAGGTATAATGCAGGCCTGGGACGATACTGAAATGTCTGTGCTAGTGTCCACCACGCAGGCGCAATATGAGTTTTCTCCAGTACTGTACGGTTCTGTACCCTATACAGTACGTTTTCCCCTACTCTACAGTGTACAGTGCACCATCGTGTGGAAAAACTTTGAGTACTGTACAGTACAGTACAATACTGTAAATTACTGGTAAAGATAGTGTACCGTATCACTATGGATACAATCATACTGTACGTACTGTACTCTGTGTCCAGCATATGAGTGTGTAGTGGACAGTACAGTACAGTACGGTGCAAACTTTGACGTCAGTTGAAACTTGAGCGTTGAAACTGTACTGTCCAAATCATCGCGATCGAGGGCTGCAGATCCTGAAATAGACTTTCAATCAAGCTGTCTGATATTTTCCTATCGACTGAAAATCGATTCAGATTGCATTGCATCTAATCATCCAAAGTACTGCAATTATTAATATAGAAGTTAAAGAACATGCCTGAAGCTTCAAATTCGAATGCCAAGTCTCACGATGAGCAATTTCGTGATAAAGACAAACCGGCGCAAATCCGTGACAGTAACATTGTCGCCGCCAAAGGTGCTTATTTGAAATTGAAAAAATAAATCGATAGCAGAATATAGACTACTATACTACAATGAAAGGAAATGGATAAATTGGTGTGTTACTTGGAGTATTCCAACTTTTATTAATTAGTAACTTTCGTATTTCATTATTAGCCATTGCTGACGCCATCAGGACTAGTCTTGGGCCCCGAGGAATGGATAAAATGGTAAGTACAGTGTGCTATAGCGGCGCCATAAGCCATTACCATGGGCTGTCCAAATGTTATCATTTATATGGTTTATAAATTACTCTATCTCTCTCTATATATAGAATACACCTACATATTACACATGAGAACTTGAAAATAACTTGAGACTATCTAGCACGTTAATTTTTTTACTCGCACAGGAAAATACTGTTCTATCGTATGACTGCAGTCGGGTGTTATTACGGATTACAACTAGTTTTCCTACTTTTCTAATCATGTATATTGTATGTGTATTTAAAACTGCAATTGTAAGATTAAGCTTTAAAGAAATTGCGAAATCATTGTAGTGTGATACCGAATAAATTTGGACTACTTATTTTGTGAATTTGAGATGTTACTTTACCTACAAGATAAACTTGCAGTTGTTGCAATAACGATTTTCTTGACACAATCCTTATGACGCAGATTCGTAGTGGAAATGGAGATGTAACTATCACAAATGATGGTGCCACAATTCTTAAACAGATGCAAGTTCTCCATCCAGCAGCGAAAATGGTAAGTAGGAATTAACTAAAACTAATGTATATTACTAGCTCTTACTAAGTTATACTAGAAATAATGATTCATGACTTCGTAATGTAGTTGTGGATAAGAACACCTGTTATCATTGATGAATGTTGTGGTCTGTCTAACCCTTTTATAAGAGATATTAGCAAAGCCTTTTTCTTAGCACTCTCTTTTGATAATTTTTATAGCTGGTAGAGCTATCCAAAGCTCAAGACATTGAAGCTGGCGATGGTACAACCTCAGTTGTGGTTATGGCAGGCAGCTTGCTAAATGCTAGCTCACAATTATTAGCTAAGGGTATTTATATCTGAAAGTTTTAAGAGTTACGTAAAATCCGAAATAAGCGTACTCATACCGTAACTTTTATGTTCTCCGCCTACAGGAATCCACCCAACAACCATAGCAGATGCTTTCCAGGTTGCAGCGCGTGGTGCTGTGGATCTATTGAAAAAATTGGCGACTCCAGTCGATTTGAGCGATCGGGAATCATTGCTAAAGAGCGCCTCAACATCATTAAATTCTAAAGTTGTTTCTCAGTACTCCAATTTATTAGCTCCTATTTCAGTAGATTCTGTATTGCGTGTGATCGACCCTAAGACTGCGTCTAACGTTGATTTAAGGGACATCAAATTGGTCAGATTGCTTGGGTAAGCCTTAACTATATATTAGTAAATTTGGTATGCTATATTATTAGGCACTATAAATGATCAGCGAGAGTCAAGATTCTCAGAGCTGAAGCGTTTTTAATTAATAGAGGAACAATCGATGATACCGAACTAG